TGTTTTTGTTGTTTCTATAGCCTTGATTATTATTGTTTTTGTTGTTTCTATAGCCTTGATTATTATTGTTTTTGTTGTTCCTATAGCCTTGATTATTATTGTTTTTGTTGTTTCTATAGCCTTGATTATTATTGTTTTTATTGTTTCTATAGCCTTGATTATTATTGTTTTTGTTGTTCCTATAGCCTTGATTATTATTGTTTTTGTTATTTCTATAGCTTTCGTTGTTACGTTTTTGTTGTTTCTATAGCTTTCGTTGTTATGTTTTTGTTGTTTCTAAAGCTTTCGTTATTATATTTTTGTTATTTCTTTAGCATTCGTTTTTATGTATTTGTTCTCCCAAAAGAAATGATCCAGGAGTTTAAAAAAATAAGATAGCTTTGACATTTAAAGTCTTTTTAGACTTCTTTAACGTCTCTGCGATAGTTTTAAAAAAAATAACGCAAACCACCATAAGCTAATTCGGAATAACGATTTTTTTACAGGCTAATTAAGTCGCTGTAAGTTCGAGTCAGGTAGAGACTCGTTATTTAAATGAAATCAATTTCTTTAATTCCCTAAACACTCGTAGATTCAACTTGCCAAGAGCCCTCGGTTTATTAGGTTGATGTAGTTTTATAGTAGCTAGACATCACTGTGAGTGAGCACCAGTAGGTAGCAACAAGCTACACATGGGACATCTAGCTACACATCGGGATGTCAGTTGATGTAGTTTTATAGTAGCTAGACATCACGGTGAGTGAGCACCAGTAGGTAGCATCAAGCTACAGATGTCAGGACAAAACTATGTGGCATCTAGCTACATATCGGGATGTCAGAACACAATTAAGTGGCATCTAGCTACACATGTCAGGCCTCAACTATGTGGCATCTAGCTACACATGTCAGGCCTCAACTATGTGGCATCTAGCTACACATGTCAGGCCTCAACTATGTGGCATCTAGCTACACATGTCAGGCCTCAACTATGTGGCATCTAGCTACACATGTCAGGCCTCAACTATGTGGCATCTAGCTACACATGTCAGGCCTCAACTATGTGGCATCTAGCTACACATGTCAGGCCTCAACTATGTGGCATCCAGCTACACATCGAGATGTCAGAACACAATTATGTGGCATTTAGAGATACATCGAGATGTGGCTTCTAGCTATACATCACACTGTCTGAGAACAACGAATTGGCATGTAGCTACACATCACGAGGTCTCGACACAACATTGTGACATCTAGCTACACATCATGATGTCTGGGAACAATGAATTGACATCTTGCTATACATCATTATGTCTAGGCAAAACAATATGGCATCTAGCTACACATCGGGATGTCAGGACGCAGCTATGTGGCATCTAGCGATACATCATGATGTTTAGGCACAACGTTACATCTTGCTACACATCACGATGTCTGGGAACAACGACGTGACATATGGCTACACATCACGATTTTTGGGCACAACTATCGAATTCAGCCCCACATTACCTTTTAATATGAATATCTATATTAAATTATTGTCCAAAGATCCCCCCCTATACCGAAATACATCACAATTCTACTAAACATTGATAATAGAATTATTCCACCACGTATTCTGTTTTTTTTTTATATCCATAATTCAAAACACGCCAATCCCCTTCATCCAGGTAATAATCTATAGAGTTCCAGACCAATCAATATAGCCGCTACTAGAAACACAATGACCATCAAAAGAATTATTTTTATAAATTACTGCTGGCACTAAAACAAAAAAACTGAAACCTACATAAAATATGTTATGCTGAAATGTCATTGTTATTGTGACATTAAACTACATCAAAGAGAATTCCCGTTAATATTAATTGCATGAACATTCGGCCTTTGCTGGATATATTTTTCTTCTCCGTATTGACTGTAATGAAGGGATTTATAACTTGGGTGTTGGACTTGTATAACAGCACTGACGGAACTCTTTACAGAAAACGTACACGAATCAGGTTGGTTGATAAGTTCTAAATACGGTACAGCTACTAAAAAAAAACTAGCATCAACTCCAGCCGTGATACGGACAGATAGAAGACTATGTTAAGAAAAGTCGTTGCCCGTCTTAGGAAAATTGAAGAATTGTCTTTGCTGGGATTGTATTCTTCCATCTCAATGTTGACAGATCTCGAAGTAATGCTGCTTATACATTTCACTATTTAAAAAAATTAAGGGCTTAAACCCCTATTGTAAATTATACGTACATTATATATATATATATATATATATATATATATATATATATATATATATATATATATATATATATATATATATATATATATATATATATATATATATATACATATATATATAAAACACATAATACATTTTTCAAATAAACACAATATGTTGTCAATATTATAGTTAGATGTCATTTTCATCATTAATGTGTTTCTATTTTGTAATAGAGAAAGAGAAAAACACAACCTCATAATCCAACATTTTTCTCATACTATAAATCAACTCGCTAATGAATTAACAAACAGGAAATCAAAACTATATGGATAATTTGAAAACAAAATCTGACAAAATATGCGGTTGTAACACATGTTTTAAAAACACTTTACGAAATTAACAAAACATGATTTTTTTTAAAAAATGTATTTTGTTTGCAGGTCCTAAACTGTAGCTAAAATCTAATGAAGTAAAAACTTGAGTAAATGTGTTTGAAAGCTATTAAAATAAAAAAGAAAATTCACGTTTTAAAATGTGTGTAATTCTGAATTTGGAATTTAATAAAACATGTTAAAAACGTTCAGTAACAAAAAAATTCAACCAATCATTGTCCAAAGCTAAATATATTTTAAAAAAAAATGATTTTTTGCTCAAACGTATGTTAAAACATAAGATCTATTGTGAGTTATCTATAATATTTAAAATATTATGGTTAACGTTAAATGAATAGTTTAATATGAAATAAGATTTGACATAGATTACTTTACAATCTCTATTAGAGAAACACATGTATGCAAGAAACAGCTCTGATGAGGGGGGGGGGGGGTGGTGTATTGCCAAAATGTAGTTACAGAATAACTGAAACAAACTATCTTACAACCGAAGTAAAAAGACTGCCAGGAAAACGTGTAAAATATACAGCAGCTACAAGAAAAACAATTTCTTATCAAAGCTTACGGTCGGACAAAAGAATCCAGAAACGCGGATGTTTACACAGAATCAATAACCACATTATAAAAATAAAACACAAACAAACCCGGAGCATAAACTTTCAGTGAAAATGATTACAAACTGTATCAGTTTATCTTTTAATAGTAGGGGTCTGCGTGGTCGGGATGAAGTATGTGTGATTGCTAAGGGGTCATCCATAAATTACGTTATGTTTAGTTTTTGACGATTTTTATCCCCCCCCCTCCCCTACGTCACACATTGTCACTTAAATCCAGACACCCCTAAAATGATGTCACACCTCAGCCAAGTCGTCGTCGCCCCCCCCCCCCCCCCCCTCCAAATATTATTAATAATAAATTGCAGTTTAATCCTTTATCAAACATTGATTTTTATCCCCTAAAATATTGACAGGGCTCGGTCAACTTAGAGTATTTTAATCAATTTTTATTACAATTTATTTAAAAAGCTTTCTAAAATGCGAAAAACGGTTAAAATTCAGTTTCTAAAATTACTTTATTTTTTAAATGAAAAAATGTGAAGACACACTACCCGAACCCCGCTCATCATCATACTTCGTCACAAAATTACCGACCCCGCCCCCTCCTTCCCCTACGAGTGTGACGTCATTTATGTACGACCCCCCTTAACCCGGCTATTCCAGAGTTTGAAACCCCTGACAGATGAGGCTATATAAAGCAAGTCATCTAGGCGAGAAAACTCCAAAATCATACAACCATTGCTTTGCAGAACATTCTTGTAAGGACAAAGACTTTACAAGTAAATCCAGGGAAAAAAGCAGGATGAAGTCGGGGGCAAACGGGCAATGTACATGTTGATGCATAATACTTAATAAGTTAAAATCTGGGAAAGGATCCTCTCCTCTATTACAGTTAAGAACGACGAAGGTAACACAATTTCTTATTAAAGCATACGGCACCGACAAAAGAAACTAAACGGGCGGATGTTTACTCTAGAAAGTGCAGTGTGTTTTCGAATAAAACAACAACACTTTAAAAAAATAATAATAATAAAACGATGTATACACTTTAAAATAAAATAATTACAAACTCGAGTTGATTATCTTTTCATATTCCCACGGAGTCGCGCCGAACCAAACGCCAAATAGCGATAACGTTTGAATATCGATTGTAGAAAAGAAAGAAAAAAGGTGTGTAGAAAAAAAATCCTGCGAAGACTTTAATGTTATTAAAGTTAATCATCCGTCACTGGAAGTTTAATGATGTCCGATCAATAGGAACATTTTAACCTTCAAACTAAATTGTAGAGATTAACGATATAAAGCGGTAAAAAAACAAGTTTTGATTGCAGTGTGTAGGCAGGGACAAAATCGAATGACGTATATATAAACATGCTTAGACAAACTAACATAGGATATTACAAAACTTATTCTTAACAAAAATGGAAATAGCTAGTCGCTGTATTTCTTACAAGCCATCAAAGTATTTCTTCTTATCTAAAAGTAAAGTCACATAATGGCATATTGTTTTTCTTAAAAGCCATCAAAGTATTTCTTCTTATCTAAAAGTAAAGTCACATAATGGATTATTGTTTTTTCTTAAAAGCCATCAAAGTATTTCATCTTATCTATAAGAAAAGTCGCATAATCGCATATTGTATTTCTTACAAGCCATCTAAGTATTTCTTCTAATCTGTAAGTTGAGTCCCCAAAGTGACGTCATTTTAATTACAATCAGATAGGCTTTATAGTACTGCTACCTCTCAGATACACCACATATTTAAATTAAGAATGCAACTTGTTGGGAGATCGCTGAGTGTGATAACACGAACCATTTAACACTAATGTGATCACAATTACAGATAAGATTTACCTGTACGGCCTTCAAGCAGCTCAAACGATCTTTAAAACGTTTCGCTTTTACAGCGGGATGACGTCATCTACCTGCAAAGTTGATTAAACAATCTGTCAATTAGTGATACAGTAATTTAAATAATAATTATACTACATAATTATAATGAAATTAAAGATTATTTTAATAATAAAATCAGAATATACTATGGTATAATACATTACAAGGATAAGAATAGTACAGTACAGTACAGTACAGTACAGTACAGTATAGTATAGTATAGTATAGTATAGTATAGTATAGTATAGTATAGTATAGTATAGTATAGTATAGTATACTATAGTATACTATACTATACTATACTATACTATACTATACTATACTATACTATACTATACTATACTATACTATACTATACTATACTATACTATACTATACTATACTATACTATACTATACTATACTATACTATACTATACTATAGTATACTATAGTACTGGTATGGTAACGTATAGTAAATTAGTAAAGTATTGTACGGTAAATAAATAAAATAAATGTGCAAGCGAACACGAATAAGATAAACACATTGAATCTTCTCCTGAGCAACTGAACAAATCTTTATCTAGCAGAGCCGCCAGTACCCAAAGGTTAGGGCGCCACAGAGAAAGGTTGGAGGGTAAACAAGACATAGTGCGCACCATCAGTGGCTTACTTCACCAGTTCATTAACAAGATGAAGGTACATGATGCGCTACATGACCTTTTACAGGGCAGCTATCTACAGTGTACAGCACTAGCTCCGTGCTGTACAGGCCAGACGATGAGCTGTAGGGGACCACATACATGGCTGAATAATACGTTATTACTGGTGTCACGCCGGTACGTTTGGTCAAGATTTGGTGGGGGGGGGGGGGAGAAGGGTCAATAAATCATATCACATTCCGACTGTGGAAGAAAGGGACGGCTAACCAGAGAGCCAGAAAGACTGGAGTTCGAACCTGGGTTCAAGTCCTAGGACCGTCCACCCGGCTTTGATGGGAACCTAACTCGCATAAGGGAAAACAAGGTGGCTGGGAATAATGCTGCCCACAGAATTCCGGCTAATGCCGAGGTCAAAGAACCAGGTGAACTATACTTCACTTGCCCCGTGGAGAGCTAGGTTCAAAAGGGAACTTTTACTTTGACTGTAGATGGGTGCCCCATACTTTAATGACGATGTGTTCAATTAAACAGGTCTGGTAGCATATTTTATTTGGACAGACCCAGGAAGGCCTTCGCACTTAGAAGTAAATTACACATACAGCCTTGGCAGTCCATAGAGGAAGTAGAGTTTATCTGGGTAAACTATGCTGCGGACTTGATAGACCACCAGGGAAATGGACACACAGCACTGTTTTATGTGTCCCGATTACATATTATGACGGTATATATACCAAACATCACGTCGAATGGCTGAGATAAAAACTCCGACATACATTACAAGACTAATGCCATAGGAACGCAATGAAAACAGCGCAAATAAAGTACCGTAACTCTGCTAATCAAGGGATATACCGTCTCGATAGGTTACAAAAAAAAAATGTAAAACCGCGAATGATAAGGAAACAAAGTTATTATCATCAAAGATACTCAAATTTTTTAAAGATACTTGAATTAGTGAGTTAAATTTGAATGATATTTATGTTTCATCATTCCTTCTAATTTTTATAATTAACTGTGTTCAAGCCCAAGACAAGCGAACTAGCGTAAAAGCAACAGTTCCAAATTAACACGTTTTTCTATTTAGCCCCAAACTCGCCACACTTTTGGGGACGCCGTGGTCGGACGAGAACGCATATAATTGCTAATTCACAACTCCGGAGTTCAGACCTTTAAAGCACACGAGGCTGGGGATAGGAACCCGTCCATGAGAGAAACTTCAAACTAAGCAACTGCTGCCTTGCAGATTGGTCTGTGATGGACAAAGGCTATATAAGCAACAAAAAAAGAATAGGAGGCCATTTGGCGCATAAAAATGTTATGTACAAGTTGATATGTAATTCTTGATTGTGTAGGGAGGAATTCAAATACTAACACTAAGAACAAAGAAGAGAAATTAACTATTAATATACAACTTGAAGGATTTAGTAGCAATAGGAAAAATTATTAAAAAAAAAAAAAAAAAAAACCCAAAAAAAAAACCAAGCGTAAGCTGCAGTAGATCTGGTAAAGAAATCTCTGGACGGGCAGACAAACGATAAGAGAGAAAAAAAAAAGAAAACGTTGAGGAAATTCTTTACAGTTCGCCCGGGTCTATAACTATACGTTAACGAAAGTTTGTGTGGAGAAATAATTAATGAAAAAGCCTTTTGACGTGGGCATGAAGAAAACGGTGAAACGCGGTGACAAGTGGAAGTGGTGTTTTCTTTTGAATTCGCAATAAAATATTTCACCACGCGGAGAGCTCTTGTAAAGGAATCAGCGCGTCAACTCCATACATCAGCAACTATCTGACTCCTAGTTCTAAACAGCTTGCTATTTATTCTCCCATAGGTTGCGAAACTACATCTGTAGTTTTAAATAATATTAGGGAAAAAAATGTACAGTTTAAAAAAATATGCTGACAAAATACCCGTGACACAATCATGGGGAATTTGATACGAGAAAATAAAATGAGACTTGATATCCTCTTGAGATCATTACGTCCATGAGACTACTCCACCACCCGCCCCCTTCACACTCAGCACCAACCCCGTCCCTTCCCAGACCACCCACGACTGGCAACAACTATAAGAATAAGGGCTTCATCATAATGAACTGTAAGCCCATGACGACACGGTTATTCTATTAAGCCCCACCACCCAATTATGGTACCAGCTACCAGAATACAAAGGGCTTTTCCCAGGTGAGTTGCAAGCCCACGAAAACAAAAACTTCTATTTTACATAGACCCCTCACGGTCGGCATCCAAAAGGGCTTCATATCAGCTAACGCTAAGCCCATGTGGACACACTGTTATTCTATCAAGCCCAACCACCCACTTATAGTACTAGCCACCTGAATAAGGGCTTTGTCAAGGTGAGATGTAAGCCCCCAAACTTCTATTTCCCCAAGCCCCACGTGTGGCATCCACTACCATAAAAAAGGGGCTTCACACCAGCTAACGGTAAGCCCATGCGGACACAGTTCTATCAAGCCCCACCACCCACTTATGGTACTAGCCACGGGAATAAAGGCTTTGTCCAGGTGAGATGCAAGCCCCCAAACTTCTATTTCCCCAAGCCCTCAAGTCTCACGGGTGGCATCCACAACCATAAAAAAAATGGGCTTCACACCATCTAACACTAAGCCCACGACGACGCGTGCTTTCCTCCACACAAACTGCTCACGCACTTCAAAGGAAAACCATCGAGGTGGCAACAATATAAAGTCCAAACCGGAAGGGAAGGAAAATTGCCGATGGAGGGTGCGGGGCGGGAAGGGCGCATTGACACGCCCGTATAAAGAAATTGATTGGTTCATTAGAAAAATGGCATCGGGTTTCTTAAAGATTCCCCAACCGCGCGGTGCCCGCTTCGGGTTTTTTTTTAACGCACGGAATTAATCGTCAATTTATGGGATTACAAGAGATGGTTGCTTTAATAGCCATGAGAAATATGAAGCCGTTTCAACAGCGTGTCCCCAAGCCACAGAGGCAGACTCGAGTGTGTGTTCGTGGGTCTGTGAAGTGCATTCATGTAGTGTGCGTGTGTGTTCGTGGGTCTGTGAAGTGTATTCATGTAGTGTGCGTGTGTGTTCGTGGGTCTGTAAAGTGCATTCATGTAGTGTGTGTGTGTGTGTTCGTGGGTCTGTGAAGTGCATTCATGTAGTGTGTGTGTGTTCGTGGGTCTGTAAAGTGCATTCATATGGTGAGTGTGTGTGTTCGTGGGTCTGTGAAGTGCATTCATGTAGTGTGTGTGTGAGAGAGAGAGAGAGCGTGTGTGAGTGTGAGTGTGTGTTCGTGGGTCTGTGAAATACATTCATGTAGTGTGTGTGTAAGAGATAGTGCGTGTGAGAGAGAGAGAGTGTGTGAGTATGTGGTGCGTGTGTGTGTGAGAGAGGGTACGCATGTGTGTGTATGAAAAGTTCTGTCATGCCGTGTGAGTGGGTGTGACTGGAGGGGGAAAAATCCTTCTTACATAACAACCAGCTAGTATGTGAGTTTGGGGGAAGTAAAAAAAACATTATTTTTACTACACTTTGATTATAATGAACAAACATGTTTTTATGTATTGTCTACGTTTCTTTTACTGAAAAAATACCATTACTAGAAACAAAACAAAAATATGTTAACATTACATTACTGTTTAGTGTGTTACAGGCATAAACATTTGTGGTAATGACGATAACATTATTAAAATTACATCAGAAATCGACATTGTAAAACATGGACAACGAACCCATACCAATTCGCCTTACATGAATTAATTATTTCTAAACAACCGGGTTCTATTTGTTTAATGTCTTTTATTTAACTAGATGTACATAGTGGTTTCCGTCCAGCTTCAATATTTTAAAACATAAAGAAAGGAAATCAGACTTGGAACTATGCAGTGCGACTGAGTTTGAAGACCATTCTAATCTATTGTTCAAGGATGCCCAAGAATGAAATAAAAGAAATGTCATTACAGCAATACCACCAATAATTGGCCGGCATTAGATCAAATTATAGTCGATCTTTTCATCCACCAGTCGGCTGAGTGGGGCACCGACCTTGACCTATTTATCGGCTTTAGATGATGAGCTCATCAAGAGGCCTTCACGGATCAGTTATGACAAATAACCGGATTGAAAAGTCGAACATCCATTTTTTTTTTAATTTTTTTTTTTCAAATTCAAAACTTTGAACAAATAAAAAGAAAATTCAGAATTAAAATTTTCGAATGACGGACTTTTAATAAAAAAGGGAGAGAAAAAAATATTAATTTTTTTTTCTTTTTGAAGAATAACCACTTGGCAAACGGTTCCGCGGCTTTGGCTGAAGACGTGCCAACCCGATCACAGCTAGCAGTCTCAGACCGAACACATCCTCCTCCATGAGAATGGATTTCTCAGCACTCACCATAAAGACATGTC